AAGGATCTCGAGGATATCTAATTTTGAGACTGGAGTAAAAAATCACGAAGAAATGTAATGGAAAATGTATTGAACGTCTAAAAATTAAATATATTGTCTCTAAAAAATAAAATAAAGTTATCAATCCCACCAACATCTATTTGAAATGAATAGATATCTTTTCTGTGTTTGAAGTGCGTATCCATAAATGGTTAGAAAGAACGATTAATTGTTTACTGGTGCACAATAATTTTTCTACAGCTTTGCAGCACTGTTAGTGCAAACTGCGGCTGGTGAAAAGGTAATATAACGTATTACAATCAGGACGTCGTTAGAACCAGTTAGGCGCACGCCGTATGACGCGCGGGCGGCAATGCGAGTGAAGGATTAGAGCTTAGACGCCGTTGAGTGTGTCGCCGACGCCAATTAAGGATTAGAGCTTGGACGCCGTTGAGGGTGACGCCGACGCAAGTTAATGATTAGAGATTAGATGCCGTTGAGGGTGTCGCCGGCGCATGTTAAGAAATCGAGGTTAGACGTCCTTCAGTGTGTCGCCGACGCCAGTTAGGATTCGAGCTTAGACGTCGTTCAGTGTGTCGCCGACGCCAGTTAAGGATTAGAGCTTAGACGTCGTTGCGAGTGTCGCCGACGCCAATTAAGGATTAGAGCGTGGACGCGGTTGAGTATGTCGCCGACGCCAGTTAAGGATTCGAGTTTAGACAGACGGCGTTGAGTGACACAAGCGGGAGGGGACTGAGAAAGGGCCGGCCCGCAGCTGTAGAACCATTCAGAAGCGTTTTGAAAACTTCGGGAACAGGGGACAGGATCCGCTGTCAGTTCGGTTGCCGAAACCGCGTGGCGTCGCAACGATCACGTGATGTTCGTTGCCGCGTGAACTCGAGTCTGACGTCGCGAGTCCCGTGGGGCTGAAGGCATTAAAGGCCCAGAGTCGCGGGGTGAGTCTGGTAAAGAGTGGGAGATGCGCAGAAATTGATGTACAAAACTTACGCCCGAGGTAGTGGCCCGTAGTGGACGATCTATTCCACTTGGAACAGTGATGATACAGAGGCACACTTTGTGTGTAGTTATTTGATTAGTGGAGAGGGTCACGAGACAGATAATTTAGGTACTTAAGGATCGCTTATGCGGTCCAGGGATAGAGTCTACTAGAGCTGAATTATATTTTTTATTGATTGTAAATAATATTATTGTAAATAGTTGATTCCTTGTCTGGGATTTGCAGTGATATTCCGATGACGTCACAGTAGAACAATAGAAGGATGCAGCTAGTAACCCGCGTGTGTCCGTTTCTGTCAGGGTTAGACCTCTTCCGGATCATCATTCGTGTCAAGGAGTTACGGATCAAGGGGAAGTAATGGCGACCATGGCCCTCCCAAAGCCAAAATTTTACTTTCTCCCAAGCTACATACGTAGTATACAAAACGTTATGCAATGATTCAGGAAAAACAGCGATTTTTAGACAGAAACGTTCGTCATATAGGTTCCTGTTACCGAAAAAGTCAATAATTCTTGTCCGTATATCTAGTAGATTACTGTCTCTAACGTGTTTTGCAGTCAGAATATATGTTTTGTGGGTACATAGAGAGCAAACACATTTTTAAAATGTAAAAAGTCTTTCATGCTCATATATAACAGATGAGAAGAGGGTGGGCAATATCCAAATGCTAACATCGGCTAAGTGATTACAAAACTTACTAGTGCAAGAAAGTCTGTGCCATTCTATAGAACCACCAGTTTAATTTTATTTAATTTATTCAAAATATTTACGGTACATACATCCCATTACTTCCAATTCAGTATTTCAATTACGAACATATTTATTATTTTTTTAATTTCACACTTTCAATTAACAAAAGTACTTATCCAAAAACTGGGTCTGAGATAAAATTGGCTCCTGAAATACTTTTTGAATCCGCCATTGGAGACAAGTAGAGTGCCATACGACACATTTTGATATACTAGTGAAAAACTGATCAGTTCTTTCTGAATATTTTTTCAATAATTCTTGAAGAACGTATTTTTGATCATTTTAAGAATCGAAATCGGGTTTTGGAAGTTTTAAGGCACCTACAAGGGTGATTAATAGCTCATTCAATTTCTCTTGAAAAGATGAATCGATTAGCACTATTTTTAGCCAGATTCTACTAAATATTCTGGAAGAATACTAAAACATTTTTTGGGCAATTTGAATGCACCAATAATGAGTAAACACTGAATTACTACACTGCCTTTCCAAAATGTCATGAATCATTCTAATTTAATTAATCAGATTAATGATAATTTTATCTAATTTTGTAATGAAACATACATTGAAAATGTTTTTTACCAATTGTTTTTCATGCAGCACTCTTTCTGAAAATACATTCAGCTGGCCGTTGTATTATGGTTAGAACGTTTTCTATTATGATCATTCCAAACAGAAAAAAAACATGAAAATTCCTGCGCAAGGTACTACGCTAGTAATCTGTTTGGATGAACTTTTAGTCTGATCTTTCAATTGGATTTTTCTATTATTGTGGATAAACATTGTCAAGGGTGGCTGCTCTAATCTTTTGCTCTGCGAATTCGGAGAATTTAAGGCCGATTTAGCCCCCATGGTGGAGAAAGGTTGCTGTTGGCTTCGGAAGTAAGGGATGCGGCAATGGCGTAGAACCCCCGCGAGAAGAAGGAAGTTAAACTTTCTTTTATTTGGTTGATAAACGTATATACTCATTGAAATATCCATTAATATTTATTTACATTTTCAGCTGTTTTCGACGGCTACATGCAAGACACGCACTTCCTCCAGAAATCCATTCTTCAGTTGCCAGCTCCAGTAAATGATGGGATACTAATTTCATTCGGAGGATAGTATCGGAATTGGGGTCTCGGTGGGTGAGGGGTTAGCTTAGTGGCCCCAGACTCCCAGTGAGCGGATTCGATTCCTGCCGAGGTGTCCTGAGTTTCGAAGGGTGGAGAATACACAGTAGCCATGTCACACTTGTGGCATGTAAAAGAACTCAGGCAGTACGCCCAGAAAAATTAAAACTTCCGCCGACGACGTTCGCCCTAACGAGATCTCAATTTCTCTCGGACCGTATGGATATAGTATCTGAGACCGACATCTGTCGGAGAAAGTGAGCGTCAAATCCCAGGCGTATTAGGGGCCCTCGCGAGGCGCGCCTGCTTGATAAGATCCCGACCCTTGACGGAGGTAGGCTCGTAAAGTAGCCAGGGTCGAACACTCAGGGAAGGCAATGAGAAACTGCCTGAATGTATCCTCCCCAAAAAACACATCATGGGTCACCTATCTTCCGTCTATGGAAGACAGGGCCGAAGAAGAATGATCGCAATTGCTATTATACAAGCCCGCTCTCCAGTTCACATTTCATTGCCTTTCCCTCCAAAGAGGGAATGCATGTCATTCAACAGATGCCATGCAGGATTTTGAAAATATACTATATGCTATAATGCTTTGTTGAGCGGCGTCTTTTCGCGCAATGGAACTGTTCCCATGCTATTCTGCGCAGCTTGGGCCCTTTGTGGCTCAGCAGAAATCCCTCTGTCCTTTGCTGGCGCCAGCGGTCGCTGCGGGGCTGACACTGACAAATGGAGGGTCCGTCAGTGTTGCCAAATGCGTCGACGGCCACTTCCCCAGGCGCCGTGTACGAAATCCCAAGACACGAAGCGTCGCATTGTATGAAATTTCCTACGCTCATTATTAACAATTTCCTGTACCAGGGACAAACATTTTCGTGGCTCAAAGTTATTTTCGATCGACTTGCTCCTCAGTTTTGCCTTGTCCGTTCCATCCTCTTTTCTGTATTCCAATAATGGTTGCCCAACTTTAAAAAAACTCTGTTCCCCGACGGTGGCGGTTCACGAATTCTAGACTATAGGGAAGGGAAGCGTTAAAATGAATGTTATGCTTTATAACAACAAACATTAAACCAGTACAGTTTATTTAAATATTTGAGTGAATTAACTTGTTACCCGGCATTCCCATGGCAACTGTCACCATCGCCTATGGCATAACTGGCGTCTATAGCTGGCGTTGCCCGGGATTTTGCGAATAGATACTTCACACTTCCACCAATACCTGCTCCTTCTTCGCGTCTTTATGTGAAACAGACATGAAATATAAAATGTAAATAAAATTTATTATCTTTTTTGAAAATATATGTTAGTCTCAATATTATTCTAAAGTGCCCCACTTCTCTCCGATATTCACTCTTGAATTTAACAATGTGTAAGTTACCAATGTGTATAGTTGGACAATACGATTCTTTTTTTTTGTAAAACACATTTGGCGGTAACATTTTTAACAGCAACAGCGCTATGTTTGATGTTGAATCGCTCAAAGAATTCCTGCCAAATTTGGCAGTGTTACTCTCGTGTTGGAACATTATTGCAATGGTATTAATTGTTTTCTCACTTGCGATTCTAAACAACTTCACTGGAACACAAATGATATAACTATAATGAAATGTTTTTGTGATGTAGCGTCGCAGAATTTATAAAAGGGGAACAAATATAATACACAATTGGCATATCAGTGCCAAAGTATTTGTATTTGATTGGTAGATCTCTATAGCAACGGCTTGAACCCGACATTATCTCTTTATTTCTAAATCATACTTTGTACAAATTATTCTTTGTAATGGATTTTCACTCAACCGAAATAAATTGTTAGCCGGTCAAATTCCTTGAAATATCATCTACTTCTCTCCGAGAGTATTTTCCTACTTTTCAATAGTGTGCTATTTTCTCCCCAGCTCTTGTTTTTTTCTATATTGAGAAAAAAGAAAGAATCTGGCGACACTGCTTCAATTGCCTTGCACGCTGAAGGGATTCGCGTGAGGCTCTGAACTTCGAACTGCTAAGGAAGCGAAAGAAGAATGAACGAGGGGTCAGTGCCTTTCTTGGTTACAAAAGGAGCTTGCAACAAAAGAAAGCAAACTACACGCTGGACTCCTAAGCTGTCCTGAATTCAAATCTTCAAAAATTCTTCGAATCACGAATCACGAATACTTTAACACAATAAACTTTATTTCAATAGACTTATCCACTAATTTATATAGTCAAAAGTATATTATGAGATGGAAAAAAGCTATAAAGTGTTGTAATTTCCCCTTAAATATATAAGGCAATGTAGCATTATGTTCTTAACTAACCCTGTAGAATACGTAATTAAGAACCCACGACACAGTTTGCTAATCCAGGAAGTTCTAGGTACAGTTCCTTCGGTGAGAGGATTTTTGGCACTTAACAAATAGCTTCATCTAAGATTACTTCTGTCTGGGGGAGAAGCAGAGGCCCTCTATTCCCATCATTCGCTTTTGTGGTTTGCGTTAGTCGGTTTTCGGCGACAGGGTTACGAGCCAAGATGGATACTTACTTTCCAATTCAGTTTTCATTCCCACACTCAAGACTGAGCTGATGATATCTATCCTGTCATATACCCCTTCCACCATTAATGCAAGAAAACCGCTGATCACAGCACAAGGAAGAATAATGGGCTTCCAAAAGTTTAGTGGGAACATAACAGCAAGCAGCGATGTTTCTATATTCGTACTTTCTTCAAGAGTAAGTGATTAGAACGTTCAATTCCAACAGAAAATGAATAAATGTCAACTAAAAAAGTTAAATAAACGAGAAAAGTGTGAAAAGTTCATAGAATAACGCTAAGGAAAATAACATACAACACCGTTTAAATTTAATGTTTATGGAAGAACTTTTTCCAATTCTTGTCACGTCAATTTAACTGATGCTTAGTGCAATGAACATGTACTGTGCTTGATAAGTGTTGCTAGACAATACGTTTGGAAAGCAAGAAGTCCATCATGACAAATTAGAAGATTTAAGCAGTAAGTGCTTTGAGAAGTGATATCTTCTTGGAAACCAAAATCAACTAGTTGCATGTTTGATTAAGTTCATTTGTGACTGCAGACAGCAATTTTTTTAAAACTTAAAAGAGGAAGTTTCTTCCTATTATGAGTTCTTTAGTTTCTGCTGGTTCGGTTTATACATTATAAATATGGTTGGTAGCTTCGAAAATGTTTTAAATCTATTTAATATCGTGTTTCCTTAGAATGACCCTATTTCAGTATTGTACTTTCATCATTAACATATTTTCTTGCCTTGTATGTCATATTTGGCATCACATGGCCGTAATGCGTAGTTGATGCATTTCACCGCCAATGCAACACCCGACCTTAGTAATTAAAAGTGGAAATGAATACGTCGAAAATGACACGACACAGACATAATTACACTGCGAATTCGAGACTACATATTTGGCGAGACACATACAAGAAATGCATCAATATCGACAGCAAGGATTAGACCTCTTGATGGCAATACACATATCGCAAGTAATGCATTGGTTGTCAATCAAAATGTTTGTGCACCTGAGCAACATCTACGATCTAATTCAACCCCTCTCAGCCAAAAATTCCATCACCAAAATTTCGAGTGTTCCTGCCAGGTATGCACGGGTGATTGTTACTACATCACCACCATAACCACCACCACCATCACCACCTTTACCATTGCACAATCACCACCACCATCACCAACGACACCGCACGTGGCTGCCCTCCAGCGTTACCCGAGCTCTCGTGTAGAGGGCCCACGCTTTGGGGGCGTGGCCCCTCAGATGTAGTACTCGTCACGCAGTCGCCGCATGAATACGGGTTGAACATCCTGCGCAAGTAAACCTTCAATCAGACATGGCGACGAGTGAGGGAGGAGAATCCAGAGAAAGGAAGAGCCAGTCGGAAATGCTTTCGAGGAGTGAACGATCACGCCAGACTGATTGTGAGACGAAGGTAGTCAGGAAAGTAAAAAAGAACAATAAATACACGAGAGACGAAAAATAAGGTAGAAAGAGACAATGATTGAAACACTGTAGAGAGCAGTGGTCATTGAGGGAAGGGAACAAGGAGGTAAAAAGTAGGAAAGGAAAATTGCAAATAAGGAGTGTAGAACTTGTGTAAGGAAATCAAAGATGTGAGATCGTAACGTAAGTTTACACATATTTAAAGGAAATACAATTATCATGAACAATATACACATTGAAAGAGATGTAAAAAGTAATTAATAAGCGAGATCTAAGAAAGAGCGTGAGTTTAAAATCGAGCAAATTTTTGAAATTAATTTATTCAAAATATTTATTACATGATCTCATCTAATTGCAAAATATATTAAAAAGAGGTAAGTCAATGAAATAAATTGGATTTTAATATTTGCTTTATAGTTAGGTAAATGGAAAGAAAAATATGAAATTGGAGTGAATGATTCATTTGTAATTCAGTCTGGAAACCGTCGCAAGGGACCTACCTGGAAGAAGGCGGGCGTGTCGAGTTCGGTGGCCCGGGCGATCCCGCCGTCTTTGCAAGTGAGCCAGTAGGTGTCCATGAGCCCCTTGCCCTGCAACGCAATTTAGATTAGTGGCAAATCGGCGCGAAGGTGGAGAGGATCATGGCCTGTCCGAACATTGATGAAAAAAGCGAAATTGTTTTGTGAGAAAAAACATTGTGGGCTGGTGAATTATATTTAGGTGTTAACACCAAGAGAAATACACGAAGGACGCAATACTTGTAATCATATTGACCCGCTAGCAAAACAATAGTTAACGTCACGAAAATAAAATAAGAAATTTAACACGTTTTCATATTTTGGAATTAAATTAAATATAATTAACAAATTATTACAGTAACTATGCAAAAGTACAAGTGGTTTAAAATAAACTGTGTATTGTTCATTATTGATCAACTCACCTTCGTAAATAGAAAATTATTTAATATTGTTGCATTGAAACACAAGATCGTGAGTCCCCAAGACTAAATGTTGAGATAGATCCTTGATACAAATCACCAAAGCAACTGTCGTAAGCGTTAATTCTGTGCATTTATTGACGGAAAAGCAAAAAGTGTCTGGTATTATATACCGGACAGCTAAGAAAACGTTGTTATCAGTAAGTTTACTCAGTTTTTAGCGCTTTTAAAAGGGAAATATATAGAATAAAGACAAAGAAGCCCAAAATATTTTTTAAAGGAGAATGGCAAAGTATGCCATTATTTTACCTCATTAGTGTGGTAATAAAATACATTACCACACTAGAGTGGTAAAGTACTTCATTACAAAACAGATAATAATAGCATAATGTCTCAGTTTACCTAACCAAAGTGGATAAAATGTTATGAAAACCTTTTTCTTTTCTTGTACTATTTCTTAAGCAAACTGCGGTTTCGTAAAATCACTAACACATTGTTTTCCTTATTTTATATAATGGCCATATTATGAAATTTACAAGTCTTTTGCTTTGTGAAAATTAACACATACTTAATAAAATTTATTTGCATCGTGATTTAACCAGCGTGCAAATTACTTAAATTCTTTGACTTGGTTTTGAGTGGCATTGGAGGAAATTCATTTGTTTTCAATCTATAAGTTAACACAAATTAGTGACAATTCCTGTCATCTTGTTGGACGCAATTATGCTTGGAGAATATAATCCGCAGTCTTGAAGAAATCCAAATTGTGACGATGTTACTGGGTAACAATGCATTTTAATAATTAACTTTGTTCAAAGAAAAGGTTGCATTGGCATTTTTGCAAAGAATGGGAGCAGTTGGGTCTAAATCACAAGGCCAGGGTTCGTATTCCGGTAGGGTCAACCAATTCTTTGAACACGTTTAGTTGCAAATGATTGTGTCCCAATTCTTGGGAGTGTAATAGGCGCGTAATAGGTGTACCTTGACGTCGACGAGTCCTCGGTGCTCGGTTCGGAAGCCCCCCGCTGCATCCAGCGCCTTCTTCACCTCCAAGCTGATGTGTACGCGCATCGCTGCGGAGCACAAGCAAGTACCAGAATGTTCTACATGTTGCACGAGCATACAAATACATACAAATAGGAAACTTACTTGTTAAAATGGAATTAGTGAGACCGGAAGGCGAGTCTAAATTCCAAGTTTTAGTGATATTTATGTGAAATGAAGCTACTTAAATGTTCTAATATTTTTTATATAACATTTGCTTGTTACGATTATTATTTATGAAATAATTTTACTGTTGTACTGTACTCATTTGAGAGATGATGATGTTGAGTGTTGCGCTCACACAAACTCTCAATTAAGTTCATTTAATGACTGAATGATTCTGCAATATAGTTCAAGATGCGCAATAAATCTACTATTCATATTATGTATGAGATATTCTATTATAATACAACATATTCGTTGGTCCCACTTTAATTAAAGAGGAAATACTAATAATAAATGCGCAGTTGATAATTACCATGCACACAGAATCGCATAGGGTAATTTCAAGGTCGAATAATGTAATGTTAACATCAGGTAGAGAATAATATTAAATGTCATTTGATATTTTCATTTCTAATGTTTAAATTGTTAAATGTTTTGGGACTTCAATTAATGATACTTTAAAATTTAAAAAGTAAAGGTTTGATAGAAATTGACAAACAATATTGTTAGATATTGATAGTATTGATTAGTTGATATTAGAAGTCGACAAACATGAGAGTATGAAAGTATACTAAGAATTGAATAAAAAATAAAATATATTTTGTGGACCTACAATATTATCGATCGAAATATTTTAGCTGTGCATAAAAGTATGGAACTTTAGTTACATGCAAATAACCCTGTCAAGTGTACGGGAAAATTAAAGTTTTAATTAATCCAAATTTTACCACCCTATTCAGACTCCAAATCTCGCACTCATAAAAACGTATACCCAAATAATGGATACATAAACAACACTTTTGTTGTGCGTGTCTCTAGCGGCAATTATAAGTCATGAAATTGTTAGTATTCACATTTATGACCGTAAGATCTTTATGGCCGTTGATTAGGTGGTGACATAATGAATCGATGTGGTACGATTGAAGAAATTTTTAGAAATGAAACATGTAACGAGAGGGGAATGAACATTTAAATCCTTGGATGAAATAATTTAAAACACTGCTATTTTTCTCGTTCTCGAACTCTTGTAATAGTAAGTCTTTGCTGAGATCACGATTTAAGAGATGTCTGTTCACTTACTGATTTTTTTTCTCGAATTTTGTGAAACAAATTGGAGGTAAATGTATACTTTGCTGTTTAATTTCCTCTTTGTCTGTGGAACAACTTCTATGAATATCTTCACGCTTCGGAACGAAAAACTAAGTTATATGATAATATTTACACGAATAACTATGGTTCTTATAAATTCACGCATTGTAACAAAACACGTTTGATTAAGACGTCCGCGTCCACGTATACACAGCGATTAGAAAGAATCGGCATGTCAGCTGCTCACATTGCTCACCAGATTGTCCTAAAACGTTGTTTGGGACATATGTGGGAACTAGCCTCAAAACGTTTACACACCTTTTCTCTCACACGGTGGCAGAAAGATCGTACCACATATAAAGAGGTCTATTGTCCGTAGGACTCGGATACCAATCTCCAGCTGGAATGGGACTCCTCCTGGTCTACGAAGACCCTGAATACATCTATGAAAGAAATTCAGAAAGTGTAATTGATATTGTCTGACATTCTCTGAGCAGCTTATCTAATTCTCCGAGCACTTCCTAACCCTGAAGCCAGAGTTTTGTATTTCCGCATTTTACATCCTGCAAGCTTTACATTATCGCGCCTGCGAGAAAATTAAAACGGTACAGCGCCCACTCGCAGAAAAGTTTCCAAATTAACAGAGTTTGGCGCCACGAGGAGGATAAAAGTAATATCGAAAAGCCAAGAGATATGTCAAAATAAGATAAAATACGTAGAAGTTATCGATAGCTAAAATTGGTAAAAAATAAAAAAAAAATTACAGTTCTAGAATATCAGTTAAGAGATTCCTATTGCTATATTAAAATTATAACAATGATAAGAATGCATATTTCCAAACTGCCGGGCTTTTCGAATATCAGTTGTTATATTACTGCTACTTCTAATCTGCGATTGCTACTGACATCAATTGATGCCACCGCAGTATCTTTGACCAGGAGGATCTCAGGTTCGAGTTCCGACTGTGACGGGGTTTCGGTACTAGCTACATATCTATGTCCAAGTCACCCGCTACCTGGAAGAGAATTCTGGAGGCTAGGGGCTCTTATCGAAACTTTTCCGTGGTCTCTCAGATGAACACCAATGCCCTAACGAAAGGGTGACGGACCGCGCGTTATTATGCCTTCCTCTTCCTAGTCCTACTCTCACCCCCTACTCAAACACAAATGCGCCAACTTGCACTACACTAACACATATGTCGGGAGATCAGTCAGAGACGTGTGGTTTGTCCCGTCTGGGGGTGGTGCTCCGCTGGTGGGAGATGTCTAGTTGGGGAAAGCCGCTGTGTAGGTCGGCGCCGGATCTCACCATCCAGCAGGGGGCGGACCCCCCCCCCTCACATCCCGTGACAAAGCGCGAGGCGTTAATGGTCGTGGCAGTGGCCGAGTGAGGGGACGGCGGAGCGGGCTCACCCTCTCCCGTGGACTCCATGCGCGAGGCGGTGTTGACGGTGTCGCCGAAGAGGCAGTAGCGCGGCATCTTGGAGCCGACGATGCCGGCGACGACCGGGCCCGTGTGCACGCCCGAGCGGATCTCGAGCCGGCGCTGCGGCCGGTGCAGGGGCCGGAAGGCCGAGCACGCCGCCACCAGGTCCAGCGCCATGGTGGCGATCTCGGTGACGTGGCGCTCGCCTGCGGCAGCAGCGGCGGCGGCGTCCGCGACCTCCGTGCCCGGCCGCCATAGCTCTGGCCCCCCCGCCACGCACAGTGTCACCCCCGAAACACTCGCTGCACTTCCACATGCAATACACTCTACGCACTATACGAAATTACTAGTACAATTACCAATCTATTATCAATGTAGCAAAGACGTTGATAAATGTAAGAGTCAGAAAGTTTTCAAATTACATCCGTGATGCATGTAACAACGTTTATGTACTGTGATCATTCGCGTAAAAAAACCTTTTTGCCGATGTATACTTTTCATTTTGTATATAAGATGTACATAATCTTTTACATGTTCATGGCTCACCAGGAATCGTTACTTGTCTGAAGTATTAAACCGTGTTCTGCGTATTGCTGTGCATCACATTGAAGATTTCTACAGAACTAGTTATGTAAAATGTTTGTAACGTAGTCCAAGAAATTTTTATGAAGGAAAAACAGCACACGATTAGAAAATAAACAGTGTGCTTGGTATTAGTCCTTGAGCACAGTTTGCTTTATTAAATTTACTTTTTGATTTTTTGTAGCGATTGATTTCAATCTGTGCTATCCACGGTGAAACTTTATTATATCGATACACGATTAATTAAAACAAAGGTTGATATTACTGGTTTCTGGACTTACATAATGTTGGAAGTTGCGTATCACTTAAGCTACGAATGAAATTGCGAAATTATCATTAGATTCATATACAGTTTATTTTATTTTCTTCAGCAGAGTTTTTCATAATAGTAAATATTAGCAGTCACGGAACTAAAATACTAATTTACAAATACGCGATACTACTCCTTCCTTTTTCTTGAGTCTAGAAATTCACCAACCGCGTATTTTGTATCTACTGCATGAACTTCAGTGAACTTTCGAGCTTAACTGGTCAGTGGATTAGCTGTCTACTTTCACAACTCATGTACCACACATCTCTCTACCAATACTGATGGTCGAATTGCTTCAAACGAAATGTCAACTTTTGTAGTTTTGTCCTGGCTTTCGTCGTTTGGTGACACTGTGCGACGTCGCGGGCGGCGACCGGCACCGAGGGGTTACGAACGTGCGCGCGCGCACACACACACACCCACACCCACACTCAAACATGCATTGTTAAGTAAAACACATAAAGCAAACGTAAGTGGCGGTATGCCACTGAGAAAATCAACTGTTTCCCGGCCCGTCTTTCCTTCCCACCAGCAGCGTTTCCGTAGCTCCGGCGCAAGTTCGCAATGCTTTCCCGCTGCCTTCGTCATTCCTTACAGAAAATGTTGAAACAATTTGCGACTGATGATTTCAAACCAAACGCAACAGCATGTGTCTTTATAAATTTATGAGTTAACCTTTTCTGAAACCAACTTGACCTATTTGAAAGTTCATTTGTTGGCATGGAGCCCAAATACAGATTAGAAAATCCGTGTAAATATGAATGTCATATTTCCTATAGCTTGTTATATCGCAATCATAGTGTACGGTGCGAAAGAAGCGATATGATTTTATTGCAAATTTGAGCCCCGGGAACACAGCTGGCAGGAACCAAAGATACGACGATCGACAGACGTTTTTTCGAGGCCAATAAATAGGCGTAGGTAACCGAAGAGGCTTGTAAGAAGAGTCCATTTTGACTAGAATATTATTTTTGTACTGAATTGTAACCACTGTGACACTTTGTGGGGCATGCAATGAGACGCTTCGGTGGACAGAGAAGCTAGGCGGAATCCAGGAGATTGGGGTCGAAGCACGGCCGGGGGATTAAAGCTTTGCACAATTTGAATAACTACCGTTTGTAATCTGTTTTGAATCAATTATCTACTTCGGTGATATCCTTTTATTTTCCAGGCCGTGATGTACAATTGCATTCGTTCTCTGGAATTGCGGAGCGGGTCGGGGAGTGACGGTGAGGCGCGAGCGGCGGTGAGTGGCGGGGCGCGTATAATGGAATGGAGAGAGGCGGGACGAGGTTAACTACCATTGGGCGAGATGAAGTGTGATAGAATGAATGAGATTGAGTAAAGAAATATGTCGGGGAGGGTGAGGAAGGGTACGAAGTGACAACGAAGGATGGAGGAGATGACGTGGTGCAAATGGGTGGCGAGGGGGGGAGGAGATTGCCAGTGGCAGGGCTTTCGTAAGGTGGGAACCGGGACGATTAGTGCAGCAGACTGACTTGCGGTCGGGCGAGCTAGAACTTGTGTTGGTGTAAACCGGGTGGTGCGGGTGAGAGGCGAGGAGCGAACAGGAGTACGAGTTAAATCGGGCGGCCGGCGGGCGGAGGACGGAGGTGGCAGTCGGAGCGCCGCCGCTCCCCCCCCTCCCTCCCCAGCGGAGGCCGCAGGTGCAAGCGATAAGGGAGCGCCGCCCCAAGGCGCGCCACGGCTCTTTCCCGCGCTGATGAAGATTATCATAATTGCGCCGCGGTGCTCCGCTTCGCCCCGCCCGGGACTGCTGCTTCACTCAGAATGGGACGGGCGGGGGGAGGGGGGTGTAGTGCGGTAGCCGAGGCGCACAGGTCGGCGGGTTCCGGCGGGGGGGGGTGAAATGTCAAGGAACAGGATCGGATGAGAGACGGAAAAGGAAAGATAGGGAAAGAGAAACGGAATTAAAAAAACGCAAGATGACATATGGTACAAAGGGAGGGTCAGTAGAAATAGTAACAAGGGGTAAGGAGAAAGCCGACGAGTCTAAACGGAGAGGGGATATTTGAAACGTGTTCGGAGAGGTAATGAGAGAGATGAATTGAACGAGAACAAGAAGAAGTGGAGTAGGAGAGAGAAAATGAGGTTGCAATGAGAAAAGGATGCGACAGAAGCAAATGCACAGAAATATGCATCTGGCAGAGTAATGTACTTGTGTATGTCGTTTCAGGACACCATATTAGAATTTTTTTAGTATTTCGTCTATACTTCATATTAAATTGCACTCGCAAATAAGAAATCAGTAAAATATGTAGTACGTCAAAATAAAACTTTCAAAATGCAAGCCAGTAATTTGATAAATATTAGACCTAAAGTGAAATAAACTTAATAGTTTATTTCTTCCAAATATGAATGCGAATATAGTCTATATGATAAAGATAACTTTAAACACTAATACTAGAGGCTGGTGAATGGGAGTCGCATTCACACTTTGTCACTCGAAAATAAAGAAAAATGGCCCTTCTTACAGTCCGAAATACCCTGTTAGCAAGCACAAGTTCATCCATCAACTCTCCGAGCAGCGAGGCGCAAGCGGGGGCTGGGTCGCGGGGTAAAGCGAAGGCTCACCGTTGCGCACGGGCAGCCCCGACGCCACCATGTACGAGTCGCCGATGGTCTCCACCTTGTACACGTCGTAGCACTCGATGCGCGCGTCGAACAGCTTGTACACCGAGTTGAGCAGCGTCACCACCTGCGCCGCCGCCCGCCGCACGCAGCCACGCACGAATGAAACGAAAAGCATTGCATATCGTCAATTAAATGAAAAATTAATTAAAGCGTCACAACAAAAGAACGGCACACAAGCTTTCAGAGAAAGCCCTCAGTCACCTGTCTAGGTGATCTGGGGTCTTTAAAGCTAGTACGAAATATTGGGTAAACCCCCACTACCTGGGTACAACGTAGAAGGATCACCTGCACGCACCGTAGCTTGATGTACTTTCTATTTGACACATAAGTACAAGCATTATATTTTGTGTACACTACAGTAGGTCAAAAACAGCCCACTGCGTTGAACAGTCTACGAAGAAATTAAAAAAAATAATAATGATTTAAAAACACATTTTCTATCTTTAATGAAAGGAAAAAGTAATGTAAAAACAACAGAACGTTGGTGCACAAGCTTACAAGAAAGCTCTAAATCTTCTATCTAAGTAATCTGGACGCTTTACAATTAATAACAAATATTGGGGAAACCTCTATCCCTCAGCTGAACGTAGAGAGTTGCGAAACTAATTTAAAACATAACTGGAAGACCTCTCGAATCCTTCGAGATAGATTTCTTCCGCAGAACTCGGGTTCCCTTGAATACCGAGATGCATATAATGTTTAATTAAAAAAAAAGAATTAATTTTGAAAGAAAGCAAAATTAAATTTGAACTGTGTAGTAACATATACTGGATTTTTAAAATTATTTAATTTGTATAATAGTAATCTTAAATTAAATGAACATATCTTCTATGTTGTACACATTAGGAGAATGAAAATTAATAAATAACAAGAGGATTGTTATACCACCACCAAAGAACAGTCTTACCTCGAGGGGAGTACTCTCTGCTGCAATTTCTGTGAAACCGACGATGTCACTGAAGTACACGGTCACGGAAGCGTAGTACTCGGCAGGTACCTTGAACACGTCAAAAATATTCATTTATTTTACCCCTTGTTCCACTAATATCAGAACACCCAAATAAGGGAACACAGGCTTCGATGATAAGGTATAAAAGATATAAAAAACACTGGATGTAAGGACTCGGGGAGCACATCAGGTGATGAAGTGGAAGAACCCCTTTCTAGTGGGCTCCTCGGTCTCAGCTGATGAAAGCCAACAATCAGAGCACCAAGGCAGCTGTTTTCTCGAACCGTAGAAGTTAAGAGGTCAATATACATACGTTCCCATCGACTTAAATTATGAAATACTATAGTTAAATGTGGGTTGCAACAGCAAAATCTTTCTCACATTATGCTTAACTTTTCCAATTTTCAAAATTTCAGGGAGTTCAAAGAAAATGGAATATGCGCCACTTTTTTTGAACATTCTTTATTTTTGAAATAAAATATATCGGCCAAAAATATATTCTAAAATAAGGTCTTATACATTTTTTTCTAGAATGAGTACTTTTAAATAAGTTTGCGTGAAATACAAGTAATTTTTCAAAATTTATTTTCTCAGCAACAGCTTCAAATTTTTAATTTTTTTACTTTCTCGCGTACTGCTTATGCTGTATAGATAAAGATTTTTAATGCTGCGGAAAAATATGGCAATTTTCTACAGAAAAATTTTCATTGTCGGACCTTCGTTACGAAAAATTGGATACATCATATTCCTATATGTAGTGAATTACTTGCTCTAACACGTGTTGTCAGAATACATGAATTGTGGGTCTTTGAAACCGAAAAATCGATTGACGGCTAAACATCGAACTGTTCCAAATTTCGTCTATAATTTTATCTCTGTTGGAGTAAAATATGCTTAAAGTAATGGCTTAAAGTAGGACGCAGTTTAGTTACACTCTCTACATTTTCGAAAATTGCAAAATTTCATTTTTTTTCTTATTACAGTTATTGCGCGTAATGCTATACTATTGTTAATGAGATATATAAGTTGACTGATGATGATGATGGCTGAGACGTCTCATAACGGACAGAAGTTTTGGTAATATAATTTTACCTAACCGTTACTAATGCGAGAAAGTACGTGCTGTTGTAGCACCGCTACTTTAATATTGCAGTATATTGAGTACGAGAGTGAAATAATACGAATATCTCAAAATAAATTAATTTCGAAAACTTGGATAAACGAGCATTCGCGATTTTTCGTTATTTATAGTTTTGGAAGCCTGTATTTAATACTTGTATTTTTAAAACGGGATTAAAGTGTGTTATGAATAAACAGTTAACAAATCTGCAATTTGATTGACAAGTACTGACCCGGTGAGTTGACTCACGTCTTATAACTTAATAGAGCATCTATAATGCTCTATTATGCTCTGCGGGATGGTCCCTAGATTTGTTCTCCCAGACGTAAATGTACAGCTTGTCCTCCCCTCTTAAAATGTTACTATTCTAAATGTATGTAAATTAAGTGGTTAGGCGGAAGAGCAGGCCCTATGGCCTGAGCCTTGCCATTAATAAAGACATTATTATTATTATTATTATTATTATTATTATTAATGCTACAAATAACCCAACGAGGCCATATAGCGTTTGAATTCGCAGTAGTGAGTGGAATATGAACTCTCCTTCTCATAATTACACGCAGCGTCGGTTGCGAGCGAGGGCGGGCTCACCTGCTGCGTCTGCTTGAGCTGCTGGGCGACGCTGGGCGGCAGCATCTGGAAGAGCAGCGTGTCGCTCTTGCGCTTCTCCTTCTTCAGCTCGCGCGCCTTCAGCGCCAGGTTGGCCGAGTACAGCTGCGCACGCGCGCACACCGCTGCCCTTCAGACCGTCGTGGACTAGTGATTACGCCCGCGTCAACTTATAATGTAATTAGTTCCGTAAGTGTAGAGCATTTCCCCCCGTTAGTAAGATATGGCGCCGACCTACCTGTCGGAAAGCGGGGTTTTCCTCAACCAGTTATCTCCCACCACTGGGGCCACTTGTTCCTCAGATCCCACCTCCTCCCACCTCTTGTTCTCCCACCACTTGTTCACCAGATACAAGTTCTAAGCTCCCGACAAGTGTGGTAGTAAGGGATCAGGTTAGGAAAAGGAAGGGGAAGGAAAGATCGCGATCGGTCAACATCCTGTTTGTTAGGGTACTTCTTCATTTGCCTGTTATTGATTGGAGAAACCACGAAAAACTACCAATTATAGCAGCCAGCCGCTTGAATTCTCCTCCAGACAGCGGCTGAATTCGACTTAGCTATCTAGGTGGTGTCGAAAATACTTCCAACGTCGTGAGTGGAAGCTAGGACCTTCCGGTTAGAGGAACTGCAGTGACATTTTATTCCCTGAATCCCCTCTCTCGGTACCGTCGTGAAATGGGGACTAGCGTACTGGTAAGTACGCCGGTCCCCATTTCACGTGAGTCGGTAAGCGAGTATTTAATGTTTGTGGGCGCATCAATTACTGTGGTATTTAGTCCTGTAAGTGTAGTGTACGACGTAGGTCGAGAGATAGCGGTATTCCTATGACGCTTGTAAGTGAGACCTGCGTCATCTTGCGGGAACCCCTTCCGAGTACCTTCTCCACCAGGTAACTGCCTCAGCCGGAACAAACTGTAAGCACTTTATTGATCTCTTGTCATGTGTGGTAGTACAGTCGACGTGTGGGTATGGGTAAGGGTAAATGGGGGACAGGGATGAGAAAGAGATCAGTCACGACCCGTTGCCAGTTTGTTGTAGTACTGTCCGGTGATCGGCATTTACAGAAAAAAAACCACGGAAAATGACCGACCAGAATATCTGGCCACTAGAATTCTCCTTCAGACAATGGTTCAATTCGATCCAAGTATGAGGCTAGTTTCCAAATCCACCACAGTTGGAAATTAAACACTAAAATCACCCGTGAAGAATGCCACAGTTATTGTAGTTGGTTTCAAAACTCTAATTTTGAGCTTCCATTCCAGCTAGGAGCGGTAGAATTCACGGTAGGAGGAAAATCTCAGTGTGTCTCTCATGACATTGGAAGAAATCTGGCAGGAGTTCTGTTTCGTCGTGGATCAAACTCGGTCTGTGTCATCACACCAATAGCGGTCGCGAAAGTTTTCTTCAACCACAAACCACATTCTGTCACGGAGCTGTTCTTTTGGAAGTGGATGACCCACAATGAGTCTTATGTGTAACCTGTTGCATATTGTGGGGTCACTTGGGAATAATTAATATCTGCAATTTTTGGGCCTCAAATCACCCATCCCAACTTCTCAGAGAATGTTTACCTTGATTTATAGTAAAGTAAATTATGTCTAGACAGCAACCTTTTCGAGTCAGAAGCTTGCCTTCACTTGGTACATTTCTCTGGTCCGTGAAGTTGAATGGCATTTTGCGCAACATAAAACGGATTTTTTCTAACGCGGAAACGGACCGGTTTTTAATGTTTTATAGGAAAAAACTTTATAAAATAGAATTGCAACGAATTTAATGTAAATGACAGAGATATCTGCGAGCCAGTTTTAAATTCTCTATCACTGTAACATGCGATTTAGTCATGGCAGCCACACATGAAGGACAGGGACTGTCAGCGTTCAGTTGTCAGCGTAAAATTCGACCTTGGTATCACTTGTCTCTCAAGGCATATGCTGTAGGGGAATTCCCTCCTTCCCGACTCTCTGAGCGTGGAAAAGTATACAGGCATGGTTTCTATTCTCGCGTTTCCTTCCCCGCGTTGAAAATAATAACCCCTGGGCCTTATACGCATTGTTCGAGACCAGGCGAGGCTATAAGAAAGGCATAGTACTGTGGGTTGTGATGCATTGTGCGTTGAAAGAGTAAGCAAGCAGTTCGCATGCAGTCACTGGACAGTGAGGTGATATATTTATGAGTTTCACAACCAGTTTAACAAAGGTTGAAAAAAAATTTAAACTCTAACCTTAGTGGAAGAGGTAAAACATAAGCTAGAGAAAGTCAAGTGTGATTGAATAATGTTAATGTTCATTTATTGGTGATTTCTTTCATAAAAATACGTTATATGTCAATGTATTTTAATCTTTGTATTGAAGTCATTAGGATTTACTACTTTCAAGACGGGAATATCAATATCACAAGTTCCATAAAATGCAAAACCTTCCATAAAACGGACACCTCCTTAAACCGGAATATTTTTTTCCAAAAACAACAACAACAGTTTATCGTAATTCTCGAAAAAAAACAAATTTCTTACTTTATGCGTGTAGGTAACTCATAACATTACTATTATTTTATGTTAAACATCTCATATGCTAGGATTCAACGTATTGCAATATTGAGACATTTGGGTAAGGTATTATGTTTTTAAATTAAATAGGCTCTTTTCTAACTTATTATGTAAACATATTCTGAACAGGTTTTACTACTACTATAAAAGTACACATATGATTTATGAAATATTTTCATGGATATAATTACGTGAAGGGCACAAACAATAGATCACAAATAAACCACAAATGTGTGATATGTACCTGATTTGTTTTATAATTATCACACAGAAGTTCGCTCTGCCTTCATTACAAAATTTTCCTCGAACGCCACACATTTTTAGTGTTTGTTCTCTTTTGCTCTTGCGCAAATCGCACATCTCTGCACTCATATATTCACCCACAAAGTCACTATATGAATTAACACAATGAAAGTTCAGAAAATTATTAATAGAACTACTAACTAAATTTGCATGAACTAGGAAGACATCTCGAAAAAAGCGACATTTGTGCAATTCTCATAGGCCTCTAGTGTTTATGTAACGGGTTACGTTCATGAACACTCTATTTTAAGATCTTTTTTCGTGTGTGATGAAAGTGCCTTACTTGGATGGTGGCGACGGCGTTGCGAACAAGGATGATGATGATGGGAGAGACAGCCAGCACCAGAACCAAGATGGCGATGCCCTGCGCCTCCTTGTGCCCTGCCTCGTGCACGCTCTGGTCCACGTAGCGCCTGGCGGGAGGGACATGCAAATGCTTAGGAAAGCCTTGGATTACGCCGCATGCACCTCGTCTGTTAGTTCGCAACACATACGTTTAATTGGAAACCATATTCAGGCTCGTACAATAACTCGAAATTAATTGTGAGTATGTAAACTGAATATATTTTATTATTTGCATTAACTGTTTCTTCAAAAATACGTCGCACGTACATAAATATGTTGTTTCGGATGTTATAAGAATGTCAGATTGTTCTGCACAAAATGGTAAACGCATGTTACTTAGTCATTTTGCTACGAAATGTTTTGTTACAGCACGACAATTTGCTTTCAAATTATTTCGTTTTAACATTTTCAGAAGCTTATACCTACGAGGAATGGAATTGTTAAACATACAGCTAAAGCTCAATATTGAGAGAACGCAACGTTGTATTGGCACACGCCAGAGAGAACACAATTCTGAATTGGTGGAATTGGAATGTGAATAACGGCGTGTCTATAATTTATGTTGGAAATGTAAATATTCGTAGATATTAATAATATTGATTTTACACCTGAAATTACTCATCGCCCTTGGCCCCCCCCGTTCCTTGATATCAGTAATAAATGTAATAAATTATTATTGCGAACACATTTGAGTCTGCTGTTGTTTTCGTAGAAAATATATTTATTCCAAACTGAATCAACGATTCAGTTATTTTTTCACCTAATATGTAATTCTATTTACTTATTTATTTAATTATTTATGTATTTAATTATTTATTTAATTATTTATTTACTTTACTTATTATATATCTATTTACTTATTTATTTTAGTTAGCTAATTATTAGTAGTCCTTCATTTGTAATTGACTCTTAGGTGTCAAGCGCGATGTTGTTTTACGTCTGCAAACAGTTTATGAAAATCAGTGATTGTATGACGGTTGCTATGTTATATGACATGTATTATATTTCGCGAAAAGGTTACTGAAAAAATGTCTGTAAAGTACGTGCTATTGTTATTGCGTATTAGAGAATATTGACTGGGCAATATAATTATTGATCAGTTTTTGATTTCTTATTGTTTTATTTCATTTGCAGCAATTGAGCGCTACAGGCGATATTTATTTTTTGCGTGCTTTTATTGCCTTCATGAGTGGAACCTGTCATAGAGCAGTAATTTTCCATACGTTTGCCAGGACGTCATACGAAACGACGATGAAATCATTGGTGCCATAAAATTCCTTTACGAACGGTTCAACGCATAGAAAGAAAAGGACGTTTATAACGATGCTATTGAAAAACAAATGAGAGCGGCGAGTTCCAATCTTCCGGTCCGCCGGGCGCTTTGTGGAGAGGTGTCCGCCACCTGCAGCGCGGCGACTCACTTGGCAGCTCCCCGCGTTCCGGGCCGCCCCTCGCCAACCCTCGCCGCCCCTCGCCAACCCTCGCCACCCTCTCCGCCCTTCGCCGCCCCTCGCCCCCGTCGCCGCCCCTCGCCGTCCCTCG